GGGGGTGTCAAATGAAGCTTCTTTTTTTTACCTGAAAAGAAACCGAAGTCCAGCTCAGGGAAGGTCACAGCTAATTCTTATGGGGAGACAGACCCAGGGACATCATGGTACCCCCGAGATTAGTACTGCCCCTTGAACATCCATATTTTCTGTCCCTAGCCCATTGGAACCCCTTAAAGTTGGTCCCTCGAGCTTGGGTGATAGCACAGGTGATGGAAAGTAGGCAGGCTTACCATTGAAGCTCCAACCTAGCTCTGCACCACATCAGCTGTGTGACCTTGAGCAAATCACTTAACCACTCTGAGCCTGACATTTGTAAATATCAAGGTAGCAATGCCCTCTTCACTGCCCTGTTGTGACAAATAAGATATATTCCATAGATATGATCCATGTAATATTAAACTACCATTTACTGAGTCTCCCCTATGGAAAGCACCTAGTAGGTGCTCAAAAACTCCCAGTCCTTTCTTCCCCTCCCTTAATGTGTCACTGCATCCGGGTAATTTATGTCTATTTCCTGTGTTCCTTTGAGAAGTGCATGTCATGCTCTGCACAAAAGTGACTCTTACGGTGGCATTTCAAGCATCATGGCAGGGTGCTCAGACGTTGGTGGATGTATTTTAAGCTGGGGTGCAAGGTGGGCACTCTCAGGGACTCTCATGTGTGTCTTGAGCCCTTCCTGTGAACCTGACTGACCGTGGCTTCCGTGCCATTTTCATTCCAGCCAAGAATGTTCTGAAACGAAGCCGATATCTGAGGGATCCAGGATGCCTGTGCCCCTCTCTTACCCTGTCTCAGGGGATGATTTAGGCATCAAGAATTTTCCTTATGGTTGCAAGATGATTAAAAAAACCACACACTCAGATGCTTTTCTGAGGGTGACATTTTTCACAGCCCCTTTCCCTCCTCCATAGATTTCCTGGGTTCCATCCAGCTCTGGCTCTAGCTCGCTCCGTGATTCTGGACAAGTCACTTCATCTCTCCAAGCCTTGTCTATAAAGTAGGGATAATACTCCTTCCCACTTCAGAGAGCCATTAGGGGATTAAACTGTGACCCATATGTAGTCAAGGGTCCAGCACACACTGACAACTCACCAAATATTAGTCATCACTCCAAACTAAGAAGGCAGGGTTCCAGTTGGGTGTGGTGGTTCATATCTGTAATCCCAGCACTTTGGGAGGCTGAGGCGGGCAGATCATGAGGTCAAGAGATCGAGACCATCCTGGCCGTCGTGGTGAAACCCCATCTCTATTAAAAATACAAAAATTAGCTGGGTGTGGTGGCGCACACCTGTAGTCCCAGCTACTCAGAAGGCTGAGGCAGGAGAATTGCTTGAACCTGGGAGGCGGAGGTTGCCGTGAGCCAAGATCGTGCTATTGCACTCCAGCCTGGCAACAGAGTGAGAATCCGTTAAAAAAAAAAATGGCAGGATTCCATTAACTTCCAGTCTTCCAGGTAGACTGTCTTAAATATTGGGCAATTCGCTTTCCTCCTCTAGGCCTCAGCTTTCCTATCTGAAAAATGGGAGT